CCTCCTGTACTCTGAACGTTCCTCAGGACGTTCCTCAGGTTCTCTGAACGTTCCTCTAAACGTTCCTCCGGTTCTCTGAACGTTCCTGACTTCTACAGCACAACAGATCAATGAACTTTTATCTTCATTAATTTGTTATCTTCAAAGGAGGCCGATCAGTTAGATGATCAGGAAGCGCCTTTGATCTCATTTTACTGACATCATAAGAGTCAGAGATAATCTGATAATAAATCTTTAAAAGACGAAAAACATTTTATAACCTTTCAGATTTTACAGATTTATTCACATTAAAAACCATTTAAGTTGAACTCAAACTGGATGAAATATTATGATAAATACGTTTTATAACATTTATAAAATATTTATACAGAACTTTGTTATTCAGTATTTTAAGGATTGCTCTTTGATCAGTTTTCTGATCTACAGTGGAAATGTAACTAATGTGGTTTACAAAATTAAGTTATTTTTTTCATTGTCCTGACTTCTTGTCAAATCACTGAAAGCTAAATTTATGTGTCAAACTAAAAGGTTTTTTTTCCTTATGTTTGTCTAAATTTTTCTTTTATTTATGGAAATGTGAACCTTTCTTGTTGAATCAATGTGACGCAGGTCCAGAGTCTCCCTGATGTAAACAGTCGTTCCCTGATGCCGGCAGATCAGAGAAATGATCTGAGTTTAGACTCTGCCAGGTGGAGCTTTCTGCTGGTGGAAGCTGTGCAAAGCTCTGATCAACCAGCGATCCAGGACACTGGTTGATCAGAGAGCTGATTGGATCAGTCCCAGAAGTTCCTCTGGTTCCTCTCTGGCAGGGGCGGAGCTACAGCTGCAGTTTATATCAAAGCTGATGGAACATCGAGCTAAGATGATGGAAAATAGAATAAAGTTCTGACCATGCTGTGAAATCAGCAGGTAAAGTTTGCTGCTGGGATTTTATAGATGTTGATCACCTGATGGCTGAAAACATCTAATTGATCTAATCAGCATAAAATAATCGATCTAATCACCATAAAATCCACCCTGGACATTTTGGCAAAATTAGTGATGAAAAATAAACACAAAAGGATGTAACTGGAAAAAGGAACGAGATGATGGATGTTTTACAGCCAATTAAGATATTTCTAAACGTTTGAGCGACGAAATGACTGAAAAATGGAGCTAAATTAGCCATAATAATAATAGTTCATTTTTAAAGGTTATTAGCAGGTCTGCTTCACCTGCTCAACAGCCTCAACAAATGATGGATGCTGCAGAGAGCAAGAGGTGGGGGAGGGGGGAGCCGGTTCCAGGTCAGTGCTGCAAAGGAGGAACAATGAAGCAAGAATGTTTTTAAAAACCCACTTTATTTCAGAAACGACCCGATCAGACAGAAAGCTTCATCCATCTTTACATCTGATGTTTCTGACACCAAACCACAAACATCCAGCATCCTGGGGGGGCCGGGGCCCCGATGCACCGGGGGGCCAATGCACCGGGGGCCCCGATGCACCTGGAGCCCCGATGCATCGGGGCCCCCGGTGCAGAGTCAAAGAAAAGCAAAGTGAAGAACTGAAACAATGAGGCTCCTGAAAACAGAGCTCAGCATCAGTCCAGGATCTGTACAATATTTACACTGTGCAAAACAATGGGGGGGGGGGATTACCCATCATGCTCTGCTCTGCGTGGAGCTCAGAGGATGACGGGTGAAGCACCTGGAGAAGGAACAGAGCAGCAGCTTAGAAGGGCTGAACAGAACGTTCCACTAGAACCCAGCAGGTTCTGGTTCAGCTGTCAGGGAGCATGAGGAACCGGTCCGGTCCGGTTTGGTCCGGCCTCAGAACGTCTCCTCCTCCTCCTCCTGAGGACCTCCATGATGGTCCACCTGCAGCTTCTACTTCATATTATTACAGCAGCTTCTGAAGAAACACTGAAGGACGCCTCCCTGTTTCCTGTCATGGTTCTGATCCGATCCGCTGCAGCGTCACCACAGTCTGACAGAACCAGCGGCTCAGCCTGGACCCGTTGGTCCTCTGCTGTGGTCCGTGACCCGGCTGGACCTGGATGTGTTCTGTCCTGTTGGCCTGGTACTGGTCCTCCAGAACAGCCCAGCTCTGTTCACCATCACAGAGTTCACTGAGCTCACAAGCGTTTCCTCATTTAACTGTTCAGGCCCGGTTCTACTCGCTCCAGAACCAGGAACCAGGAACCACAAGGTCCAGAGACGAATGGAGCGAGCTACAGAAGCAGACAGTGGTCGATTGGTTAGCTTAGAACGTTAA